AAAAAAAAAAAAAAAAAAATCCTATGAGATGACATACAAATATCTAAATGTCTGGCTTTGGAGTATTAATCTTCAATCCCTCCTGCAAACACTAACAGCTGCCTTCTTTAGGTGCACTGTAACCTTTACTTCCCATTTCTCCCTATAATTACTTGAAAGCAGCTCCAGATTGCTTCATCTATCTTTCTTTTTGTTTTATTTACGTGTGTGTGTGGGGGATGCCCAAGTCCACAGACACAGAACCAAAGGGGGACACTGGGCATCTACTGTACTCAGTCTTACTCTTTTGAGACAAAGTCTCTCACTGAAACTGAAGCTTGTCTTTCAGTTAGGCTGGCCAGCCAGCAAGCTCCTGGATCTGCTTGTCTCCACTCCCCCAACATCCAGGTTACAGGAACACGTGACCATACTTGGTTTTCACATGGGTGGAGATTTGAACTCAGGTCCTCATGCTTGCACAGTAAGTACTCTATCTACTGAGTCATCTCCCCAGTGCCCTCCTACCCTTTCAAAGTCAGGGTCTCCCTGTAGCCTTGGAACTCACTACGTAGATCAGGCTGGCTTCAATATCACAAAGGTCTGCTTGCCTCTGCCTCCCAAGTGCTAAGATTAAAGGTGTGCGCCACCACATACAACATTCCTTTTTGGGTTTTTTTTGCTGTTTTTTTTTTGAGACAGGGTCTCCCTCTAGCCCCAGCTGGCCTGGATTCACTATGGAGACCAGGCTGGCCTCGAACCCCCAGAGATCCGCCTGCCTCTGCCTCCTGAATGCTGGGATTAAAGGCGTATGTCGCCACGCCTGGCAAAATGTGTAACCTAGGCTGGCCTCGAACTCATGATCTGCCTCTTCAGCATATCCTACCGGCATGCACCAACAACAACCGGCTCTTTTTGTTTTTTTGAGACAGGATCTGTAGCCTGCTTGGCTTGGAATGCTCTATATAGATACGCTAGCCTCAAACTTGCAACAGTCCTGCGTCTGCCTCCAAGTACCCAGGTTACAGGCAAGTGCCACAGTGCCAGCTGTTTCACTGATCTTCACAAATCTGTTTGTGAGGGTCTTGAGGACACTAGGCATATCCTCTCCCACTGACCTTTAACTCCGGGCCCTCCACTGAAGCAAGCACAAATTACCTAAAGTTTCACAATAAAAAATACCTCTTGAAAACCCAATACTGAGACTCAGTATTTAGATTTACTATAGTTCAAGTGTCATCATAAATACGGTTTCTTATTGGATATAATTGTGTGTGACTATGGAGTGCTGCTCCAAATCATGCTGTCAGTGACACAAAATATCCTAGGTTCCATAATTCCTCTCTAAAATTTAAACAATTCCAAGTTCACAAACACCACTCGCACCAAGAGTTTCAGTAAAGAATCATGAACCTGATCATTTGCCCAAATCCAACAGGCATTTGCATGCACAAATCCCTGCTGAAGACCAACCTTGGGCAACAGGTAGGGGAGTCCTCACCTTTGATATCAAGCTGGGCATGGATGATGTTGCCCATGACGGAGGTAAGGTGGAGGTTTTTGACTGTTTCCTTGGCACCCCGAGTACTGGTAAAAAGCACACGGGCGAGTCCCAGGTGCTTGCGAGTACGGGGGTGGAGAAGGATCTCCACCTCTTCCACCTCACCATACTTTCGGCACATATCCTTCAGGAATGTTTCCCGCACGTTGTCATTGAGCCTCGCAAAAGTCACTTCCTTCAGTGGGATCTGGCCGATATAGAATTCATCCAGCTGTGGAACGAACAGGGGTTGGTCTAGAGTTTCTATAATGAGCACAGCTTCCTTACCATTCGGGAAACTTTAGAGAAATCCATGAGATCAACACAGAAGCCTGGGCAAGGGAAGGGGAAGTCATAAGGCCTACATCAGTCTTGACCTCTCTCCCTGAATTCTTCTTACTACAAAATGACAAAAATCAGGAAAAGAAATGCATAAACTTAAGCATCAACACACACAGGAGGAAGTAGCAGAAGGAAATAATCCTAGTTTGGCTTCTACTGACTCCCATGGGCCTGGCACTAGAAACACAAAAATGGGAAACAAGTTCCTATTCAGAAAAGTAGACAAGACAGTGTTGAAGGTGGTAGTACATTTCTATTCTAACACTTGGGAGGCTAAGGCAGGAGGATCCTAGGATCAAAGCCAGCCTGGGCTACCTTCCTAGGAAGACCTTATCTCAAAAAACAAAAACAAGGCCAGGCATAGTAATGTACACCTTTAATCCCAGCAGGCAGGGGCAAGCAGATCTCACAGGCCAGTCTGGTCTACATAGTGAGTTCCAGGCCAGCTGAGCTACAGGAAGATTTTGCCTCAAAAAATACACAAAAAGCAGGTTTGGAGAGATGGCTCAGCGGTTAAGAGCACTGGCTGCTCTTGCAACAGGCCAAGGTTGGATTCCCAGCACCCACATGGCAGCTAACAACCATCCTGAACTCCAGTTCCAAGGGTTCTGACGCTCTCTTCTGACCACCTTGGGCATTGCATGACACAGGTGTACTTACATCCATACAGGATAAACATTCACATACAAAAATAAAAATAGTATTTTTTTAAAAAAGCCAAGGGGTGGGGGGAGATAATTCAGTTGTACATAATGCAACCATGACAGTGTCACCAGAAATGGATATTGTTATTGTTATACAGAGCAAAACGAGGGAAGGAGTCACAAAGATTCTTCGTTCTTACGGGACTTTTTTTAAAAATATTTTATTTATTATTTTTACTTTATGTGTATGCATGTATTGCCTGCGTGTAGGTAACTGAACCTGTGTTGTGCAATGCCTGCAGAGGACAGAAGAGGCTGTTGGAGTCCCTGGAACTGGAGTTATGCACAGTAGTTAGCTGCCAAGTGGGTGCTGGGATTCAAACCCAGGTCTTCTGCAAGAACAGCCAGTGTTCTTAACTGCTGAGCCATCTCTCTAGCCCCTTACCGGACTTTTTGGATGCACAAAGTTCACCAAAATAACAAAGACTTCCAAGACATGGAACTATACAACTTGGCATTTTCTAAAAATGGAAAAGTGTATACTTTAGAAATAAGAAAGGTGTGGTGTCAAGGCAGTGATAAGGCTTGACCAGATCAATAACCGCATGTGCTAGTGCCTCACAGCATAGACATGGCAGGCCAGCAAGATGGCTTAGCAGTTACGGGCACCTGCCACCAAGTCTGACAACCTGACTTCAATCCCTGGACCCCATGGTAGAAGGCAAGAACTGACTCTTACAAGTTGTAGTCTGATTCCTACATGTGTGCCATGGTGCACACATGGTGCACAGGCACACACAATAAGGACTTTGCAAATAAAAGTGCGAAGAAGAGAATCAGAGACAAGTGACAGCCAAGATAGAGAATAAAATACAGGAAAGCGGAGGGGCAAGGACACCAGGCTCAATGGATGTAAGGCTCTCATGGAGGACCAGCAGTGGAGATAGAAAAGTGAAGACAAAAAGGAAAGAGCTACTAGAGAACTCTGAGATTTCTACCCTGTGCACCTGAGTATCTGGTGTTGCTATTTATCAGAGAGAAAAATGAATGAGAGAACGGGATTGAGGGAATAAAGATAATTTGTTTTAAGTGAGTCTGGGATAGATATAGGCTAGAAATGGGTATTTGGAAGGTAAACAGTCAGGTAAGAGAGCTGCAGGTGTGAGTCTGTCCAGAGGAAGTAAAAAAAGTAAAAGAAGGGGCTTGAGAAGTGGCTTAGCAGTTAAGAAGGCATACTGCTCTTGCAGAGATCTGACTTCAGTTCCTAGCACCTATGCCAGGTGGCTCACAACCATCTGTAACTCCAGCTCCAGGAGGATCTGACCCCTCTGGCCTCCACCTGCACTCCCACACATGCACATACCCTGACAACACAGGCATACACATATACACATAATGAAAGTAATATAAAAATATTTTTTAAAAGTAAAAGGCAAAAGGACCCCACAAATTACTTCAAAGAATTAGTGAAGGAAAAATTAAATAAAAACAAAGAATTAGAAGGAAACCAAGGACAGCCAAGTTTCTAGGCTCAGTCCAAGGCCTGATGGATAGCCTTCTTAGATTGAGAAATGGAACAGCTCTTAAGAAACAAGATGGCGGTGAGGAAGAGAGGACTCCAGGCAGGCAGTTCCCTTGTCAGCTCCCTTAACTGCTGACTGACTAGGATACCCCGCTGCCATGCTTTGTGCTGTATCAGAATATGCCATGATTAAGATGGCAGCAAAATCCACCCCTAGCTCACTGTGGAGAAGCCGGTACCACTGTCACCCCAGACATTCTAGAGACACATCATCTATGCAAGTGTCTCCTGTCAAAAACCATCTCAGCCTCACAGACTCAGCAGTGATTAGATCTGGCTATCAGTCTTTCACTGGAATGAACACTTTATTAGGCTATGTTGAAGAACAGGGTGCCAGAACCCACAACACCCTCCAAAGGCCAACATGCCAGGAGGCCTGCAGGCACCTACCTTAAACTTAGGGACTGGGAGGGAAAAGTCTCTGTTTTTGGATCTGACATGGCAACGGGGGTCTTGGAGGTCTTCGACTGGTGTGTACTTTGAGTCCTAGTAAAGAAAGCAGGAAGAGATGAAAATTCAGGGTGAGAGGTCGATGGCTGTAGGAAACCCACGTGAAGACCCTTGCTTGAAGGAGCTGAGACAGTTCGCTGATTTTCAAGAGAACAAGTTAGAGGTATGGGAGGTCAAGGAGGTCTGGAGGTCTCCTTGGGGCACTCACACTGACACTGAAGTGGACTCCATCATAGCGGTACACCTTTTGGGAAGGCCTGCGCAAGGCAGGGTCCAAAGCAGGATCCACGATGAGCTTGTAGTTCCGCCACTGGAAGCTTGGGGCTTTCTGCCCATCTCCCCCACCTTCCTGGTCCATCTTTGCTCATTTACACTATCAGGAAAGGAGCATTACCAATGAGGGTCCAAGACTCAGGCCTGACTCCCCTGCTGTCTCCTCATTGGTTAGCCCAGATTCCAGGTTCTCTCATCACACCAGTTTCCACACCTCAGCACGACCTGAGGCACCCCCAGATTTTGCCTCAAGTACCCTGGCTCACTAAACACTCCATTCTCTGTCCACCCCCCAATTCTACCCTCAGGGCCCAAGCCTATCTCGCGCCCCCTTACCTTCCCGCTCTCCCTAGCGCGCCCCACTTGGCCTCCACGCAAGACCCCTCCCCCGTCCCCTGGCAGGCCCCGCCCCCTCCCGCCTCCTCACCGGCCAGCGGCCCGGGCCAAGCCCGGCTCCCGCTCCCACACAGCCGCTCCCGTCCCCGCGCCCCGATCCTCTGGACCCGAGGTGGCACCTCTTCAGGGCGTTGGAAACACCGCGAGACCGAGCCTGAGACCCAGCTTCAGACCCTGAATCCGGGCGGGGGGGGGGGGATGAGGGTAACGCGCGCCGCTGCCCTCTCCCGCCCGGGCGCGTTCTGTGCCCCCCCACCACCGTCTTCGCGCACGCGCGCCACGACCCTACTCACCCGCTCTTGGCGAGCGGCTCCCCCTCCCCCCACCGCGCGCAGCACCTCAGCGGCGTGAGGCGGCGGCGGCGGTGGCAGCGCGAGACCCGGCCCCGCAGCGGTGGCGGCGGCGGCGCCCCCCCACCACCACCTCCCCGGCGCGCGCACCAAACACCACCGCCACCTGCACGAGGCCCAGTGGGCACAGCGTCTGCATTCGCACTTTCGCCACAGGCGCTGCCAAGCGATCCACCGGGCCGAAGGTAGCGGCCTTGCCTCGACCGGCGCCCTTTAAGGCTAGGGAGTTGCAGTCTAGCGAGCTTGGAGATGGGCCGCATCCCCCGGAGAGTGGGCCGCACAACCCCTATCCAGCTGCTGCGGTCTGAGGTTCGTGACGAATCGGCGGCGATGAAAGCTGCGACAAGCCTCTGAGGAAAAGGGGGCGGGGCGAGGGGAGGAGGCCAGCCAGAACTCGGGAGATTTGAGTGGCGCGTTAAACAGTCGCAGATTCGCGAAGCGGGCGGGGCAAATGAGTGAACAGGATGCGCGGTCCTTTGCTCCCGTTCTGTCCCTTCTTTGCGCAGCTCAAAGGTCTAAGGGGCTGCAGTGCAGCTCCGCTACCGTTCTTGGCTTCATCCGTCACCTCCCTTCACCTGCCTTGGAGTCAAGAAAATGACGCCCGGCTAGCCAAGCCCTGTTGGCAAGGTCGGCCGCTTTTCCTTGGTTTTTCTTACTAGCACAATTCAAAGAGCAACCCACTTCGATGGAGGGCAAAATGGTGACAGCGCAAAAGTCTTCTCAAAGTCCGATGAGAATTTTCAGCCAAGGAAAGGCTTCCAAACAATCCTGAGCCGGGGTAACGAATCTGCGGATCCGGTTGTGGGCGTGGCTAAGAGGCGCGCAGAGGGGCGTGGTCACGCTCGCGGAACCCCGCGTATTGGGGGTGCTTCCTGTAGAGCCCCTGAAACCTGGGCTGACTGGAAGGTGGAAAAATACGACCAAGACCGGTGACTCAGACGCTTTGCCTCCCCACACACATAATGAAGTGATCGTTTTCTTCCCGTTATTCAACTTGGACCTCCGTTGTTTTTTGCGACAGTGGCCTCGAACTTGCTCTGTAGCAGAGGATGGCCTTGAACTGATCCTTTTGCCACTAGCTCCTGGGTGCTGAGATGACTATAGTTTTGCTGCACCACACCCGTTTTATGGGGTGCTGGGAATTTAACCCAGGGCTTCCGGAATGCTAGGCAAGCACTTTCCCAACGGGGCTACCTCTCCTTTAGGCCATTTTATTTTTTTATTTTTTTTTTTCTCTTTTTGAGACAGGGTCTCCCTGTAGCCCCAGCTGTCCTGGAACTCACTATGTAGACCAGGCTGGTCTTGAACTCACAGAGATCTGCCTGCCTCTGCCTCCCGAGTGCTCGGATTAAAGGCGTGCACCACCACGCCCGGCCGGGCCCATTTTTTAAAAAATGTTTATGTGTAGGCGTGTATTGCCTGCTATGCGTATAAGTGCATCCCCGTGGTGCAGTGCTTTCAGAGATCAGAAGAGGGCTTTGGAGCCCCTGGAACTGCAGTTATGGAGGGCTGTTAGCAGTCTTGCGGGTGCTAGGAATAGATCCTCGTTCTGCAAGAGCACCCAGTGCTCTTTTTAACTGCTGAGCCATCTCTCCAGCCCCAGACTTCGGGCCCATTTTAAGATGCCGATTTGATAGATGGGGAGACTGATGTATAAGAGAATGATGCATTGTGTAAAATGATGTACCATGCTCCGTCTACCATTAGTGGTAAGACTGAATGTTGTCTGAGGGTTTCAATAAACCTAGGAAAGGCCTAAAGGCCCTTAACTGGGTCTTGTAAAATTAAAGGTCTGACAGTAAGCCAGTCATCCCCACACAGTGCGTTCTTAGGCTAGGGCTCTCTCTGCTCAGAGGATCTCATTGCCTGAGCTCAGAAACAAGCCCAACTGAAGCCTCACTTGGGAGCCTGAAGCTGAGGATGCTGCAAGGCTAAGCATCCTTTTCATTCAGAGTGAATGGGGCAGGCACTTAGGTATCTGGAGAAACTTGAACTTGCCACAGACCTGCTGCCTGAGCTAAGGATGCCCTAAGTGGCTTCTCTTCAATAGTCCCTCACTATGTGACCCTGGGAAAACCATTGACCTCCCTTAGTTTCAGATTATTCTTCCAAGAATGGATGGTAATTGTTCACAAAGGACTTCCTGCAAACCTCAGAACAGTGCAGGAAAAAGTCTAGGAACCTGGTTTTGCAAATTTTAATTTTACCATTACAGGTAATAAGAGGGAATTGTCCAAGTTCTTGACCACAAAAACAGGACTTGGACTCTAAAATTATTAGGTAAATGAGGCTGAAAAGAAGTCTATATGGGCATAGTTGCCCCAGTACCAACTCCATTTTCCAGAGATTCCTGTGAGGGTAAAGGCAATCCAAGTTCAGTATCACCACTAGCTGTGGCTGTGGGTAAGATGAACAGCCTTCCTGGGCCTCAGCTGCTTTATCTCTGAAATGGAAAAGGTACCCTTGTCTCTTGAGATGCTGTGATGACTAAATGAGAAAACTTAAGAACAACCCCTTAAGAGCTGGGTGTGGTGGCAGAAAACTTTAGTTCCAGCACTCGGGAGGCAAAAAGCAGGTGGATCTCTGTGAGCTAGAGACCAACCTGGTCTAAATAGTGAATTCCAGGCAAGTGGGGCTACAGGGAGGCCCAGTCTCAAAAAGTAGCAAACAAAAACCCCATCCCTTTAGGAAGTAGTAGTCACTGGAGAAACCATGTAATCTCAATAGAAGAAGTAGAGATCCAGAGTTAGGAACAAGAGTTCAGAGGCCTTAGCTTTAGAATAACTCACCACATTCAGAAGCTATCAACCCTTGTCAGCAGTGTACCTGGACTCACTTCCCATCAGGTACACTTCCCTCTACCTGGCCCTTAGGAACAAACACTCTTACTCAACAAGGCTTCCACTTCATCCCATTCACAGCCACAGGAACGTATGTGAAACACAATTTATTATACAAAACAAAGTGCATCAAAAAGTTTGGTGTCAGAAGAGCTCTGCATTCAAAGGGCTGAATTTTCTCCCTTAAAATCCCCTCACCCAACCCTTGCTAAGGAGTCTCACTAGCTGCACAGTCCCCAAGTCTTCTGACTCTCCTCTTCCCCCAGCTCAGCCAAGGACAGTGAGAACCGGATAAGATACATACATATGCACCTAGAGCAGTGGAGCGGGCACACTGACAGGTCACCAAGTGGGGAGTGGCTCCTAGATATTCTGAGCTCTGCCTGTTGTACAAACAGCAGCCAAAGTGGGAATGTGGAGCCCATCAAAATCATGACAGGTAAAATCTCCCTCAAGATGCCAATGATAAAATTGATTATACGTAAATGAAGCAAGGGTTGACTGCCTTTGGGGATAGCTGTGCAGGCATGTGACCTGACCGCCACAACCCACAGAGGAGCAAGCAGCTGGTCAGCACCAAAGATCCCACCTGGGCCTCCTTGCTTCTCACCTAGCCCAGGATCCTTAGATGTTCCACTTCCTCCCATTCCTCCAGCCAAGCAGAATGGAGCTTACAAAACCCATTGGGACACACTGATAGGGAACATCTCTGGGAATGTGGGACTCTGGTCTCTACCTGAGTGGCTACAGGAAGTGGCCCCAGCCTGGGGCAGGGAATGAGGTCTGTAGATCCCTGGGGTCTCTTGCAGATGTAGGGAGGCAGTGCTTTCAGGATAAAGCCAGGCTCACACAGCTTGCAGCTCTCCCTGCAGGCGACTCAGTTCCTCAAGCTCCTGCTTGTGGCGGTCTGTCTTGTGGGCCACCAAGGATCGGTAGAAATGTAGGGCAAAGGCCATAAACACAAGTCCCACAGGTACCATGATTGCTGTGGAGGCCATAGCTGCCTGCCAACCTGGCCCATGGGCACCACCACCACAAACTTCCTGGGGTGGGCAGGGCTTGGAAGGCTGCTGTGATGGGGCTACAGAAGCAGAGGATGGTGGGAGTTTGGAGGCTGGACTAAGGGAGGTGGTTACTGGTGGCACCTGGGATACAGGGGCCCGTGTGTCCATGGGAGCCCCAATGGGCACAAACTTGACCCAACCAACAAGAACAACTTCAGCCAGGAAGAGAAAGGTGCCCAAGGCAGTGGAGAAGCCCCATGCCAGCTCCACATAGCGATGGAGTCGCTGGTGTGGTGACTGGTGGACAGAGTTTAGGTTGTGGATGTTGCTCACGGCTTCAATGTGGGGCAGCAGACATGTGGAGACCATGAGTGCAAAGAGGTGCACAGCTACCAACACGGTGGTACAGGCACTAAAGGCCACTAGCAGGCCTGGTGGGTATTCGTGATCACTCTCCAGCTGTACCTCCACCATTGCCACCTGTGGGCAGAAGAGGGGATAGGTTGAGTCCCTATAAAGTCGTTGGGTTTTTTGCTTTGTTTTGTTTGGGCACATCACTACTACATTCCTAAGATTTAGAACAGTACCTGGCAGAAAGAAGATACTTAGCTTTTCTATTTTAAAGAAGGGGTCTTTATAGCTTAGGCTGGTCTGGAATTTGGGCCCAGGCTGGCCTAAAGCTTGTGATCCTCCTGCCTCAGCTTTCCAAGTGCTGGGATTACAGGTATGAACCACCATGTCCTGGGAGTTTCCTGTTGTGTCCTGGACCTTGATTTCTTTACCTAGCTATCAAGCAGGCTGGTTAATAAATATGTTTCTGAGTTTTACTTGGTTATTAACATAGGGGTTAAAAAGCACAGCTTCCAGGCTGGGGATGAAGCTCAGTGGTAGAGCCCTTACCTAGCATTCATAAGGTCCTAGGTTCAAAATTAGAAAGCAAAGACAATACTCAGGCTAAGGTGGTGATACATGCCTTAGGTGATACATGCCCAGCACAAAGGATGCTGAAGCAGGAGCACCTCAAGTTTAGAGCAGCATAAGCTACATGTTGGAGATCCTATCTCAAAAGAACCCAAAAGGGCCAGGTGTGGTAGCACATGCCTTCACATGAGTTTGAGACCATCCTGGTCCATATAGTTCCAGGAAAGCCAGGGCTACATAGTGAGACCCTGACTGAAAACAAACAAACAAACCCAAAGCAACCAAGCAAAAAAACTCTAGGCTGCCTGAGTTCATTCTTAGCTCTATCTCCCTTCCTCCCTCCTCTCCCTCCTACAGAAGTTCACTGTATAGTCCAGATTGGCCTCAAATTTACTATCTTCTTCAGTGTCCCGAGTAGCTAAGATTGGCCAGCTGTGTAATCTTGAGAAGTGTCTCATTTTCTTACCTGGAAAATGGGGATTGATAATAGGCTTGTTGGGAAAGGGAAATGAAATACACATTAAGTGCTGAGGACAGTGTCAGGTACCATTCTAGTTGATGCTAATGGTCAAGGCTACACTTTACATTAAGTTGCCAACTTTTTTTTTTTTTTTTTTGGTCTTTTTGAGACAGGGTCTCCCTGTAGCCCCAGCTGTCCTGGAACTCACTATGTAGACCAGGCTGGCCTTGACTCACAGAGATCCGCCTGCCTCTGCCTCCCGAGTGCTGGGATTAAAGGCGTGTGTCACCATGCCCAGCTCAAGTTGCCAACTTTTTTTAAAAAATTTTATTTTTTTATTTTATGTGTACAGTATATTGCCTACATATATGTGAGTGCACTGTGTCGTGAAATGCTGTGGAGATCAGAATCAGGCTTCAGATTCTCCTGGAACTGTAGTTAAGGATGGTTTATAGCTGCCATGTGGGTGCTGGGAATCGAACCCAAGTCCTCTGCAAGAGCAGTCAGTGCTCTTAACCACTGAGCCATCTCTCCACCCCCTAAATTGACAACTCTTAAAACACAAGGTGGTGTACGCCTTTAATCCCAGCACTCAGGAAGCAGAGGCAAGCAGATCTCTGTGAGTTCAAAGCCAGCTGGAGCTACAGGGAGACCCTGTCTCAAAAACAACAAAAACCTCAAAAAGTTTCATTCTAAATTATCTTGAACCCTCGGCAGATCTGGCCATACCAGGCCCACATTTAAATGTGACACTATCAAAACTGAATTATAGCTGTTCACTTAGGAGAGGTCACAGTCTCTCTCCATCATAAGGCCCCACCCAGCCAGTCTGGCCTTTTCAAACATTTGAGTTAATGACTCTGTTCTAGGCATGTATAAATTTGGACTCTAGACTACTTAAGTTCAAATCCTACCACTAACTTGCTGTGCAACAGTTGCCTTAACATTGCAGACCATTTTCTCACCTGTAAACAATGATTATATAGGGGTTAGAGAGATGGCTCAGCAGTTAAGAGCACTGACTGCTCTTGCAGAGGACCTGGGTTTTATTCCCAACATCCACATGGCAGCTACAAACAGTCATTAACTCCAGTTCCAGGGGAATCCTAAGCCCTCTTCTGACCTCTGCGGCATTGCATGACATGGATGCACTCACATACACGTAAAATAAAATATTTTTTAAAAATGATTATATAGTGGCACATATTTCATAGGCACCATCTCTGGTAGGTGGTGACAGCTGAATTTGTTGAGATAGGGTCTCATGCAGCCCAGGCAGGCCTTGAACTTTCTGTGTAGCCAAGGATAAGGATAACTTTGAATTCCTGATTTCTGCCTTTCAAGTGCTGGGTTTATAAGTGTGCACCACCATACCCAGTGTATGTGGTGCTAGAGATCAAACCCAGGGCTTCCTGTATGCTAGGTAAGCACTCTGCCAACTGAGCTACACCCACAGCCTTTGAGTTCAATTTCTAAATTATTTAAACTAGGCCACCTTGGTTTAAGAATCTAGATTTCAAGCTAGACATGGTAATGCATGCCTTTAATCCCAGCATTTAGGAGGCAGAAGCAGGAGGATCTCTGAGTTTGAAGCCAAGCCTGGTCTATATAGCAAGTTCTATGCCAGCAAGGGCTAGATAGTGAGACCTTGCCTAAATACAAAAAAACAGGAATCGGGGCTGGAGAGATGGCTCAGCAGTTAAGAACACTGGTTTTTCTTGCAAAGGACCCAGGTTCAAATCCCAGCACCCACATGGCCGCTAACAACTGTCCGTAACTCTAGTCCCAGAGGATCTGACAGCCTCCTCTGACCTCCGCGGGCATTGCACAACATAGGTGCACTTACCTTCATGCAGGCAATACACGCATACACATAAAATAAAAATTAAAAAAAAAAAAAAGCCAGGGGTGGTGGCGCATGCCTTTAATCCCAGCACTTGGGAGGCAGAGGCAGAGGCAGGTGGATCTCTGTGAGTTCAAGGCCAATCTGGTCTACATAGTGAGTTCCAGGACAGCTGGAGCTACAGGGAGACCCTGTCTCAAAAAGACCAAAAAACAAAACAAAACAAAACAGGAATCTCCCCCCAATTTCTGGTTCTTGAGGATTCATCAGATTGTTTGGGGGGGGAAGGTGCAGGAAGGCAATTGTGGTAGGAAAATCAGGCTGAGTATTTTGGGAAATTGGGCCATGGCAGATATCAGCAGGTGTTTTCCACCAACAGGGATCCAGCCAGACTTAGCCCTGGTTTCCCCCAGGGCCTGACTCAGCTTCTCCCCTACCAGGACTGGAGCCAGGACTGCCCCCAGAACCTACACATTCACTTCCTGATCCTCAGAGAAGGCCCTAGCCCTTAAACTGTCATCCTGGCAACCTACAAATCTTGCAGCAGGTTGGATTGTTCCCTTAGAACTGGATCATAGAGCTAGCTGGCCTCTCTCAAGCAGGTCCAGGGGTGGCTGTGCCATTCCTTTTGTGCTGAGATGGGGAGCTGACTCTGATGACATCCTCATCAGGAACTGTGTGCTGTTCTGTGGAATATGAACCCCTCAAGCCAAGAATAACTGTTGGAGTTACAGATTTTTCTTCATGGAAATACCAAGGTTGCAGCAGAGAGTCAGGGACCAACCCAAGTTACCTAGTATATGACCCCCACCTTAGCTCCTTCCAAGGTCTACCTACACAAGAGCACATTCCCAAAAGATGTCCCTGGCTCCAGCCTGCTTCCTTCTTCCTTTGATCAAGTGGAGAAAACCACTTCCTTCTACACCCTTCCCCTGCTGAGTGCCCTTGTCAGTTTCCACTGCATCCAATTATCACATTGGTCCGAACCTCCCCCTGGTATGTAGATCTTGCTCTGACACACCTAGAGCTAAGGTTCCCCATAACAAGAATCACAGCTCCTCCTGAGCAAAAGCTTGGCAAACTATAAAGACTGCATCTTCTATGATCTCACAACTTCATACAGGCCTGCAACAGGGTCATACAGCTGGTCATAAGTAGGGGGGAGGCAGGACTTAAATTTATTGACTGCATCCTTGGCTGTCCCTCAGTCCCACTTCCCCAGGCCACTGCTGGAACCGTTAGTTGAGATCCTTGCACACCTACAGTTTATCAGATTCACTTATCAGCTTCTTGATCAGTTTCCTTCCCCAGCAGCTTTCTCACTGGCATTATTATTGGGCAACTCTAGCACTGTGTGTCTTCTGAGAGGCAGGGGGTGTCTTCCTGAGGATGGGCCCTTTTCAGTTGGGTGACTTCATGCATTTTTTCCCCTCCTTGTTCTTCTAGCCCGGTTTTTAAGATCCCCTCATTCGGCTCAGATTTGCCTTTAAGGACTTAGTAACTAATCACTTCGACTTGAATAGGCTTTTTTCCTGACCAGTTTGCCCTCCTGAACTGTCTACTCTTCTCCCATGACACTTTTGGGTCTAATCTTTCCCACAGTTCCGTTTATAGGACTAGGGTCGTGCCTACAACAGCCCCCTTCCATCAAGGGCTTTTTTCCCCCCACTTCCCTGGGACTGTGTGCCTTCCTCTACTAGAATAGCTATCCTCTTCCGTTCTGTCCTCCGGGACCCCTTCACTTTAGCCCCGTGCCCCCCACGTGCTCCGCCCATTCCGAGTGACCCTTGCCAGCCCCTCACCATGGCGAAGCCCGACAGCAGCGCAGACGTACGGCTGGAGGCTTTGAGCTTGGCCCGGCTGAGGTAGAGGCGGCGCCAGCTGAGCGCCCGCAGGGAGTGCTGGCTGGCCCCCATGAGGTCCAGGTAGCCGCGGTGCACGAACTCCCGGTACGTAGCCGAGCCCACCGGGCTATCCACCTCCGGGTTCAGCGGGGCCTGTTCGCCCGCGTCCCCCTCGCCGCCCTTCATTCTAGGGTCGGCTGCACCCGGTGCGCCGGCAGTCACCGAAAGGTCCTGGAGCCTCCAGGGCCCCGGAAGGGCCGGCCTGAGCAACAGGGACCCATCCCCGGCGGGGCGGGATGCGGGGCAGAGCCGGGCTCTGGGAGGAGCCGAAGCGGGACGCCAGAAACTGAAACAGGAACTGGGGCAGAGGCGGGGCCCGAACGACCACATGATGGGGTGGAGTCGGAGATGAACCCCCGCAGTCCGGCGGTCAGGGAGATCCACAACCCCAGTTCACCATAAACACCCTAGCGCCTACGGGGTGAACGGCCGAGTGGCCGTTAACTGAACTGGCCAGCCTCATCCCACTCCAATTCACCTGGACGTCCCCAGGCGGGACGGACTAGGTGGTGCCTAGACGTCCAGCTTCCTCCTTGAACAGGGACCGCAGGCACTACTTGTAATAGCCCCAAGGAAGCGACCCCATAGCCACTCGCCCACCACGCACTGCCAGCACTGTGGACACACACACTGACTCGCGGCCCCGGCTGGAAGATTCTGAGTTTTATAGCAAACCATATTGTACAGACTGGGGGCCCAGGGGCCCAGCCCGGCCGGGTACCCCACTTGCCCTCGCCGGGTGCCTCCACCCCCACCCTCAAGCGGCCCCATCCTCAAACCTTTCTCCATCCCCAGTATCCCCCCTCTGGCCTTTGGTCCACCCAGCCCCCCCCCAACCCGCGCACCTTCCTGTTACCTGAGGTATGTGGATAGATTCCCCTCCCTTCCCACCCCCACTTGGTACAATCCGGTTTCCCGGAGGGCTAAACTGAGTGGGACCTGGCCCTGACTCCTCCCTCAGATTCTTGAGACCCCACCCCCACACAGGAAAAAAAGGGTGGGGGGAAGGTGCTGTGAGTCTTTAAGTTCCCACAGCAACTAAGAGGGACCATTTCCAGTCTTAGCACTGCATTCGGGAGGTGTCCATTGGCTGCTATTTCCATGGCAACCAGGAGTGGCAGTTCCCTGGGCAAATGGGACACAAATTTCCACGACGAATGAATGGGAAGAGCCAACCTGGAGGAGCCCCCTCTTGCTCATCATTGGGGTGACAGCCCCCACCCCAACTCAGGTCAGGAGGGGTAGAGCTGTTCAAGACAGTAAAGCAAGAGAGCTCTGGTGGGGCAGTCCAGACTGGGCTCCCACTAGTCCAGTCTCAGTCCAAGCTGGTCCCGTCACTTCACACTCCCCCAGGTCCGAGGTTCCCCCGGTTCAAGTAACACTTCAGTACAGATGAATGTTCAAGTATTGTGTAGAGAGCCAGGCAGGGGTCTGGGCTACCCCTCACCACTCCCCTGGGCCAAGAGCTCAACAGCAGGTGGACCCATGGCCCCTACTCCTCGCAATAGCTGCCATTTTCAGTGACGGTCAAGGAGTCAGGGTGGGGGGAAGAAACTGAAATCTGGACAAAGGGAAAGGGAGAGGGGTACCTCACAGAGCAGGTACCACCATCACATCTGCCCTTCTCCCCACCCCCCAGCCCTGGCATTTCCCAGCTCCCAGAGTTCCCGACCTCTGACACTTGGATCCCCAACTGCTCCTCTGGTTTCCCTTTTTGGCCCCCCCATCCCATCCCCAACTCCATGTATCTGGTCTTTGTTTTCAGAACCCTTGTTGGCCTGCGTTCTGCCCTCCCCCCAACCCATTCAACGCCCCCCAAGCCCCCTGACTCCCAGTATCCTGTGTGCAGATACCCTTTCCCCTCATTCTTCCTCATTCAAGACTTCACCCCCACACACTATCCTTTTGGCTCAGCACCCCTCCCCGTACCTCTGACTCACTCCCCAGAGGGGATGGACAATGCAGCAGGTAGAAGGGAGGGATAGCAAAGTCCCCCCCACCCCCACCCCAGAGATATCAGTGCAGGTGGAAGAGAAGGGGGAGGCTGGCTCAAGTCCCTGGGCAGGAATCCTAAGTCATTAAACTTAGGAGCGCCAAGTCACGAGAAGGATAACCTGGCCTCCCAACTGGGTGAAATGAAGGCCAGAGGTCCAGGCTACTGGTGAGTCCAGGGGAAGGGGATACCAGCACCCAACTAGCTGTCCTTGAGAAGTAGCTTCTCCTCTGGGCAGCGGAAGGGGCCAGGGGGCCCTGCAGCGGCCAATCGGGCACAAGCTTCAGGAGAGAGCTGGCGGCAGGAACGTAGGTCCAGGCGGCGAAGTCGTGGGCAGCGGCGGAACAGCGGGAGGCAGTGATCGGTGAGGCGGTGGCAACCTGGGGATGAGGCAGTGGGTGCTGAGACTAGATAGGTAGGTAGGTAAGGGGGCACCAGAGTCGAACCAACAGGCCAGCAAGACGGACAAGGGACCATGCTTACCAGCAAGATTGAGGTGCACTAGGGTCTCTCGGAGTGGGGAAGTGGGAGCTGTGAGGAGGTGGACACTGGGGTCTCCAACATGGGCGCAGTGGCTCAGGTCCAGGGCACTCAGCTGGGGAGCGTGGCGCAGCAGGAGCCTCAGGGAAGCATCGGTCAGCTCCAGGCCTGCCAGGCGCAGTTCTGCCACCCCCTGAAGCCGCCCTCGACTCTCTGTTTGCCCTGGGCACAGAGTAAAATAAGCATTCCTGGCCCCTCTCACCCCCCACCAGACAGCTGTCCCACCCTCATGTTTATTATCTCCTCTACCCCTGCTCTCACACTCGAGGGCCTCACTTGCCATCTTCCACATGGCTTGCTCTTCTCCCAAACGAACAGCAGTGGATGTCATTTCACCTGACCAGTGCTCCTATCACCTCTGGGAGGCCTCCCATGAGGATTCTGAAGTCATAGCACCCCTCAGTTCCACCCCCTCCCTAAATTCCCCCTTCTCAGCATCTGACACGCTGTACACATTTTTCCTTAGGATTCTTTCTCTCCCTCCATAAAAATGTCAATTCCGAGATGTCAGGAATTCTTGCTCACCGCTGTCCCCAGTAGAATGCTCAATATATTTTCACCCATAATCTAACACATGACATCCCTCCTCCCTCTCCATTAGTGGCCATCCTTTGCACTCTCCTTGGTCACCTCTCTTGCCTGAACTGCTTTTTTCCCTAGTTCCTGCCCTTTAGTACCAGTTCTCCCTTTCTGCCCTCCCCCCAGGTCTTGCTACATAATCCTGGTTGGCCCGAACTCTATGTAGACCTTGCTGGCCTCAAACTAGCAATTCTCCTGCCTCTGCCACCCAAACGCTCCTACACCCCGCCTTCAGTCTCTCTTCTTTCTGTTATCAAAGAAGCCATTCTCAAACACAAATGGGATAACATCCCTACTCCAATAGACAGTCCCCGGGGGAACTCAGGAAAGAAGTCCAGAGTCCTCAATAGAATATTGTAATTCTCAAGTTCTATTCTAATTCTCTAAGGTCTCACCCTTGTTTTAGCTCTTAATTCCTAACTCTGTCCCCAAGTACCCAAGCTATATTCCACAAGTGGCTCTGCTCACAAAACACTGCCTTGACCACCTAAACTCTAACAAACTGCCTGACACTAGGAAATGAGCTCAGAGACCGCCTTCCCTACCTCCATATACTCAAGTTCCAAACTAGCCTGGGCTATAGAATGCAGAGCTCTGAGTTGAGTCCCTAACATGAGAAATTAAAAATCTGTCTTTATTCAGAGTAGGAGACAGCAATAAGGGTTTAAAGCACAGGGGTGACACAGAGATATACCCTTTTGGATGGTTCTCCTGGCTCCAGTATAGTCCAGAGACTACTGAGGCCAGAGAGGATGCTTTGTGAGCACGATTATGCCTCACTAGGCCTTTCATTCCACCATCTTCTAGGATGGGTCTCCTGCCTCATCAAACTGCTAAGTGACTCATAGTCCCTAGGAAAACCCTGCCCTTTTAAGCTCAGTTCAAAGCACACAGCAGGAAAGTGAATGAATGAAAAGAATGGTCAAGACAGGTCTTTGTATTCAAACTCCTATTTTCTTCTCCTTCTTCAAATACTTTAACATCTGGCATGTCAGAAGAGACCTCAGAGGCCCACACCTCAGCTTTGCCCAACCCATCCATGGATGAGCGTGGTGGCCACACCTGGTTTGGTATCTGGTGGAGGCAGCAGCAGCTCACGAAGCTGGGAGTCTTTAACATCCTCAATCCAGCGGAGGTCCAAGAGCCGCAGTGCTGGCAGTGGGGCTGAGCCCAGGGCAGACACGGAGAGCCAGGAGCAGCCGGAGAGCACCAACTCCTGCAGACCTACAGGTGAAGTGTCAGGACACAGGTGCTAGCTAGGACCTCATCCCAGACCTCATACCTTGTCCTGAACTCATTTCTAGTCTTACCTTGTAGTCGGTTCAGAAGCCACATGAGCTGCTTTTTGGAGACACCTGTCCAGCTGAGGTCCAGGGCTCGGGGCTGGCGGCGAACAACCCCACTAAGCATGGGTGGGGTCAATGACTTCCTCCTGCTCAGGTCCATCCGAGGCCACAGACGCTTGTCATAGCACCTGCCAGCCACAGGGGGGAGACAGAGCCCTCGGTCTAACTTTTGAGGGAACCCACAATCCCCACTCAACCCAGCTCTCTCGGGTTCCACCCAGTCAAGTGGGTGGCATGAAGCTTCTGGCCTGCAGCCCAGAGCACTGGGTTTAGGATTCCACATCATCACTAACCAGGTATGAGACCCTGGGCAAGTCCATTCCTCTCCTTGAGTCACAGAACCTTCTTACAAACTGAAGATAATGACTCAAACTGCCTGCCCCACAGGGCTGCTATAAGATCAAATGAGGTAATTACAGTTCATGGACCTTACAGTTTATAAAGCATTTTGCCAAATAGCTACACAAACACTATACATGCTATTTGATGTAATGCCAAAGAGATCTGAGAGCAGCCCCCAGACTCTACCTTTGGGCTTCTTGATTTCTCTCTCTTGCTAAGTTATGGTAGCTCACGGCATTTTGCCATGTGTATAGCCAGCCACTCAATGCTGGACTTACAGCACTGATTCTCTCTCTGATTATGGGGTTCCTCCCACTAGACTATAGGCTCCAGATGGACAAATTTGGTCTGTTTCACTTTTGGACCCCCAGTAGCCAGCACACTGTAGAGCAGGTGCAAAGTACACCTAGTTGTTGCACATGTGTCGAATGAATGAATGAAGCCAACATGAACAATTTAAAGTGTCTACTAAGCACTCTACCCCAACACCTCATTCACCAGTGTTAATGGAAGGCCTGGTATTGATGCAAAAAGTACAAATACATGAGCTCCATACAAAACTAAACAGGTTTCCAGACTCGAGCGCTCCAAGAGTCAGTGAGTCTGGAGGGCTCCCCAAATATTTTATCAAGCAACCCTTTCCCATCTTTTATAAAGTAAGCTGGTTCCCTAGACAAATGCAATTTCTTACTATGCACAAAATATGGATTCTTACACCTATAGACAAGTATCCCAGTCACCATCCATCAAAGAAGTTTCTTTTTCTTTTTTTTCTTGGTCTTTTTGAGACTAGGTCTCCCTATTAGCCTCAGCTGGCCTGGAACTTACTAGGTAGACCAGGCTGGCCTTGAACTCACAGAGGGCTGCCTCTGCCTCCTGAGTGCTGGGCCACCACTCCTGACTAGAAGCTTCTTTTTCAAGAGACAGAGATAATTACAGAGTTCCACAACTGGTCACATAGAGATTGTCTGTGAACTGCCCAAATCTAAGTGACACATCTAGAATGCAACCTCTACACCATGGAATACAGAAGAAGGGATGAAGAGAACACTACTGCATCTTTCAGTTCCCATCAGTGAAGCTCCCTCATGCAACAGAGGGTCAGAAACACAAAAGGCCACAAATGTCCAAAATGCAGGTCCTTGAACAAGACTCCTATATTAAAATATACTCACCCAGGGCTCAAGGATCAGTTGGAAAGAAGGGGCAGAAAGATTGTAAGAGCCAGGGAAGAGGTGCATGACCATATGGAAATAGTCCTACAGGCTCCTGGGACTCTTCTGATACGAATCTACAGCAATGGTGTCAGCATACACAAGACCCATGCAAACTTAAACAAAAACCCAGCACAGACCTGTGGAAATGAAGAGGAGGCCCCAATTTTAGTTAAAGAATTACTGGCAGCTGATTACTGCTGGATGAGAAAGAGTTGATCTTTTTTTTTTTTTTTTTTTTTTTTTGTCTTTTTGAGACAGGGTCTCTCTGTAGCCCCAGCTGGTCTTAAACTGACAAAGATCCTCCTGCCTCTGCCTCTGAGTGCTGGGATTAAAGGCCTGTGCCACCATGCCCAGCACAGGAGTTGATCTTCTTAAAGGGAGGGTCTCTAGATAGGCTAACTAGATCCCAGTGAATGAACTTGCACTGAGGGACATCTGGGGACACGTTACATGAACTTTACATAATAGGCCTTAACACAGACTATATGAACTCCAGTGGGGGGTTACGGGAGGGTGCCAAAGGGGAAGGAAGTATAAAGAATACACAAAAATTCAATAAAAATATTTATTAATTTTTAAAATTTTTATTTATATTTTATGTGTATGAGTGCATTGCCTGCATGTATGTGAGTGCACCCGTGTCGTGCAGTGCCCGGTTAGTAGCTGCCATGTGGGTGCTGGGAATCAAACCCAGGTCCTTTACAAGAGCAGTCAGTGCTCTTAACTGCTGAGCCATCTCTCCAGCCCCCAATAAAAAATATTTAAAAAAATAAAGTAGGCTGGTAACATTTTGTGGTACACTAAATTTCTTCTGGATTCAGCTAAAGGCTTTCCTGTACTTGAGTAATTTTTCAAAGGCAGGTCAGGAAATTCCCACCAGGCAGTCAGAGTAGAGGGTTGAAATAAGGCCTGCAAAATCTCAGGTTGGGGGAGGGATTCCCAAACTCCAATCATCTTGTGGTCTGTCCATGTCTCTGTAGAACATGAGTTTGTCTTTTTTGTTGTTGTTTGAGAGGATATCACACTGTAGTGCAGGCTGGCCTAAAACTCACAATATAGCCCAGACTAATTCAGAACTCACTATTTAGTCCAGGCTACTCTAGAACTTGAGATTTTTCCTACCTCAACTTCCAGAATGCTGGGGTGATAGTCATTTGCCACCATATCTGGCTCAGTTTAAGTCATCCTCTCTTTACACTTTAAAACCAGTATTGTGCTGGGAGTGGCAGTGCATGTCTGTAATCCTCCACTTGGGAGGTGGGAACAGGAGGATCAGGAGTTCAAGGCTGGCCTCAGTGACAGAGACCTAGTCTCAAAAAAGCCAAAATCAAACAGTATTGTTTCACATAAATATGGTAAGCTTAAAAATAAACACAAGGTGGCCCAGCATGGTGGCACACACCTTTAATCCCAGCACTTGGGAGGCAGAGGCAGGCAGATCTCTGTGAGTTTGAGGCCAGCCTGGTCTCCATAGTGAATCCAGGACAGCTGGGGCTACAAGGAGACCCTGCAATATGAGTCTGAGCCCTAGCACCCATGTAAAGGCTGGACGTGGTCATTTGTGCTAGCAATCCTAGTGCGAGGAAGCAGATACAGGTAGAGAGCCCTGGGGCTTACGAGATAGCTGGCTGAGCTGAATGCAAGTGGCAAGCTTCAGGTTCAGTAAGAGATCCTGTCTCAAAAAATAAGATGGAGGGGCTGGTGAGATGGTGTAGTTGGTAAAGCCGTTGCTGTATAAGCCTCATGACCTATGTTCAATCCCTGGAACCCATATAAAGATGGGAGGAGAAAACCAAACACCAAAATTATTCTCTGATCCACCTCCCCATGCCCATGCATGGCCCCCCCAACTAATAAATAAATTTTTAAAAAATCTATTGTCTGGGTATTGTGACAATCACCTTTAATTCTAGCACTGTGAGACAGAGGCAGAAGCATGTGAATATCTGGGAATTTGAGTCCAGCCTGGTTTACAGAGTAAGTTCCAGGCTAGCTTGTTACACAGTGAGACCCTGCCCAGAAAAAAAAGAAAGTGATTTAAGGCACCCAGTGTTAATCTATGGCCTCTACACACACCCTCTCCATCACCTGCCACAATAAATATATACATACAATATGCTAGGCCTAGTGGAACAAGCCTGTATTCTCAACAGGGAGGCTGGAGCAAGAGAATCAAGAGTTCAAGGCCAGTTTGTACTACATAGTAAGACACTGTCTCAAAAAAACTAGCGAGCTGTTTGTCAAGATGGAGCTGAGAGTAAAGTCCTGTCCCTTCCAAAGTTGAAGCCGAAGACGAAGCACTGAAAGCCAAAGGGTGTCCACAGCCACAGAAACGAGCCACACGACGCCCCACTTTCAGGCCCAACACCCTGCAGCCAAATAACCCAAGAGCACCCCCAGGAGAAAAAAACTTGCTCACCATCATCCAACTCCCCTGAGCACTGAGTTGGCTGTGAAGAGAGCACACTTGTGTCACCATGGATATCAAGTCCAACAAACACCAGTTCATACAAGTGCTGAAGAAGCCCCGTAACATTGATGTGGCCAATATCAATACCCTGCTCAGGCCAGACAGAGAAGGCATGTGCTTGACTTGCTCCTGATAATGCTTTGGATGTTGCCAACAAAATTGGGATCATCTAAATTGAGTCCATTAAAAAAAAAAAAAAAAAAAAAAGGTGCCTGGTGTGGTGGCACACACCTTTAATCCCAGCACCCAGGAGGCAGAGGCAGGTGGATCTCTGTGAATTCAAGGCCAGCCTGGTCTACATAGTGAGTTCCAGGCCAGCTGGGGCTACAGGGAGACCCTGTCTCAAAAAGACCAAAAAAAAAAAAAAAGGCAACTAGATGGATCAACTTGCTGCCACACCTGAGATAACCAATTCCCAGCTCCCACAAGTTGTTCTCGAACCTTCACATGCACAAACACACCCATAGACTTACACACACAAGAACAAAATAATAACTGTAATAAAGACAATAAAGGGTGATCAAGATGCCTCATGGGATAAGGCACCTGCCACCAAGCCTGACATCCGCAGTTTGAATCCCTGAAACATACATGGTGTAAGGAGAGAACCAATTACTGCAAGTTGTCCTCAGACCTCCATACACATGCCATGGCAAACTTGTACCCAAAACTTATACATACAAACATGTAAAATACATAAAATGAAAAAAAAAAGCCAATAAATAAAATTAAAATAAATAAAACTATTACACTCAAGCCAAGAGTTGCTATGGCTTAAAGCTACCTAAAAACACTTTGTTAAACAGGTGATATGGGTTATAAAGGTGTTAAAGATACAATACCACCCAACAGATTTTCTTTAAAAACCAATGGAAGTTTTGATTTTCTGTTACTTAAAACAGGAACTAGGCACAATAGCATGTGTTTGTAGCCCTAGCTACAGCAGGACTGCTTGGGCCAGGAATTTGGGCCACACTAGGAGCCAGACCCTGACTAAAAACACAAACAAGTTGGGTGTGGTAGCTTGGGAAGCTGAGGCAGGAGGAGGATTATCACAAGCTTGAGGCCAGCCCAATCTACAAAGCAAGTTCCGGGCCAG